TGTTTGTCTGTAGATTTGAAATTAAGTCTGGTTGAAAGGTTTCTTTTTTGCTGAAATGTTTAATGTAAAGAACAAAATGTATATTTCTCGAAACTTCAGGTTCGAACAGAGATATAACTCTTAAGAATTCTCCAGTGACCGATGGCAGGATTAAAACACTGTTCCCAATACAATACGACTGGATATACTGTATTAGTTTTTTTATTTAAAATGAATCATAGTCATAAAACATTTTCCATGACTTTTTTCACATCAATAAAATATGCAAAAAATCAATGATTTTACAGATAAGTAAATGCTCTTCGTGAAACGTTAATGTGGGCATTTACATAATAATTTAGGTGTTATATTTTAAAAAAGGATTAAGAGTAAACGTTGTTGTGAAGAGTGTACAGTATGACTAGGAGCAAAAATGAATGTTTCCAGCAATTCGATGCATCCTAGTTCTTCGTGGTTCCAGTGATCAATCGTCACGCAATGAATTTGGAAAGATCTTGTCTTTTTGTGTGATTACTCTCACGCATACACTGTATGTTTCTGTGTTTGATGATTCTAGCATTTTTAAGTGTGTATTAGTCACGCAATGCCACTAGAAGGCACTCTGCTCAATGACGCCAACTTCTGCAGACATACACATTAAATCGCTATCAAATGCAGTCTATACGAAACACATTTGGGTTCATGCCTTTCTACCCCCTTAAAATGAAGTTTCATTTTCTACTGTGTTAAATTCAATTGGAATTGGAATTAAATTCAATTGGAATTTAACCAAAGAGGTTTACAGTATAAAACATCTTATTTACAGTATCTTCCAGAGCCCCCAACAAAAACAGAAAACCAACACAGCCTCAAAATTGTTTTGTTGCCATTTTCCGCAATATTATTTTCTCCAAAGTCTAAAAACTTAACGGTGTTAAGAAAGAAAAAACAGTTTTCGCCATAATGAAGAAAATTAAGACCTCAGTGGCAGGTGTATGCAGCAGGTGGCTTTACCTGCAATGCAAAGTAGCATTTTGCTTGTGATTTCCTTTAATATGGATACCGTATTCCACCCTGCGCCGCAGTTGGGTGATGAGCCAAAAATTCATGTCTGCACCTCTCTTCCAGCATGATTTATTGCGCGAAAATACCAAAGAACTAATCAGCAGAGTAACTAATTAATACAAATCTGCATTTTTGCATAAGTAATTAGTGCGAGGAGAGTGCAATGAAATGGGAAGTTGGATTCGTTTAATCTAACTGCCTACTCAAGCGTAAAGACACTGGGGCGAGGCACTGGATCTCCGTTTAGGGAAAAAGCCTTTTGATTAGGTAGTGCAAATAAAAGGTCAGATCATCAATATTTAAATCGCATCTAAATGCATTTATATCTGCAACAAAACACCATCCATTTCAGTGTGCTTTATGTGCAACTCATAGATAACAGAACTGGAAGAGCCGCAATAAATGAATCCCTAGTGTAGATTTACTGCGACATCACCTGGGCCATGTTCACACCAAAGAAGTAACGCCACGCTCTGTGAAGGCCGCTACATCGACTTTCTTTATTCTTGACGTCTCGCAGGTAAATAGTACGGCTAACAATCCGAGCAAACTCGGCTTAAAGGCATCGAAACCTGGTCTTAAGATTTGGTTACATCTATTTTTACACTGTGCCAAGTATATATTACATACAAATATCTCTTAAACCTTAAGGCATTACCTTTAACAAAAAGGCATTACCTTTCTAGACTACCTAAATTTTCATTTCTAGCAACATCAAATTAAAAACAAAATACAGATCGGTACAGCAACAGAATATTGACATGAGTGTATCTAGGAAGCCAACTAAATTTCAACAACAACAATTATAAACATGTTATTAACATTTTATTATAGGCGACTAGCAGCTGGAACGACTCTGTAATGCAGTATATTGTACAGTATTATGGAATTTAAAACTGGCTGTTTAGAGTTTTGTGAAACTGAATGTAAATCCCAAAACTGGGCTGTTGGACTGTCTGTCAATCTTATGTTAGTCTTCTCATATAATATTCAGTATGTTGTCTCGGTTAAAATGAATTATTTTCATTAGAAAAGTAAACACAAAACTCTTGTCTGATGTCACCCGCGGCTTGTCCTGGAAAACATTTTTTCCTACGGTATATTGATTATGCACTTATTTTAAAATGTTGTATCCTTTATACATATTATATAGGCTACTCAATCGTATTTATAGAAACTATTGGAAAATATATTACAAAAACCGAGAAACATTCCCAACAACAATGGAATGTAAAATGGTTCTCAATAGCAATGTGGAACAAAAGCAGGTTACTGTCGAAGTTTTATAGTATAACTGCTACTGTACATATAAGCAGTCGACCATGTTATACAATTATCAAAAAAATAACTCTTCCGAATGTTTCAACAGAATGATAAAAAGCACATTTTATGAACTATGTCCAAACAAAGAGCTAAGAGCAGTACACTACTTATAAAATAATATTTGGACTTTATTTGCTTTACAGGCAGACACTTCTAGCACTCTCAGAAAAAAGGCTTTTAGTGAAATCGGACATCTTTTCACGTTTGGGAAATATCTGTAGTTATGAAACTTAAAAACTGTTTTCTACTAAATGATACTCTGCTACAATGAAACTAATTGTAGAAATGGTAGTTATGTCAGATACGATAGTCTGGAGACTGTTTATTCTTGAAACATACAGTATTAGGCTATACAACATACTGTATGAAATAAAGATGTTTTGGAATTGTCACACGAAAAGCACCAAGACAGTAAGAAGTAAAATGTTAATTTGTAACGAAGAAGTGTTTCTTTTAGCTTCACTCTGCCTCAAGTGTCCGGATACAGTATATTAACATTCTGCAGTGGCTTAAACAAATACGTTTTTCTTTGCAGAACAGGAAACCACTTAGAATCCTTTAAGTTTAAGTCAGTCGTGGTTCATACACAAAAGTGAACTCTATAGCTTTAAGAATCTGAAAGTACATTTATTAGATGTTTTTTAAAGTATTTTTAAAAGTAGTTTTAAGTTCAAAATGTAATATTTCCTCAGGTGTAGGCAATACTTAAGAGAATTCACCGCACACTGAGAACTTCTGTGAGCTGTCGGTGGTGCTGAATTTTGCTTGGGTTCACTGGAGCTTCAACTGCTTCTGAAACAAATTGCATGGCAACAGCAGGAAGAGTGGTCGAAGAGACAGGCTGTACCAGCTAAAACCACAGATCAACAAAACATGCCCCTTTTATTGCAAAGATTAGCAGGACTCCATCACAGATATAAGGCGCCGAGTTTCTGTAGGCACTTCATGGTTACCTGGTTTTTTAACTGCGGACTTCGGCTGACAGCTTAGAGCTAGGTCATAAACAGATGTTAAATATAAATGAATCAGAGCTAACCAAACAGAATTTTACAAGCCTGGCTAAACACTAGTAAAGGGTCTTATGTATTTTAAACAGAAACTGTGCAGCTAGATTCAAATTAACATGAAGTGACTACATGGAAAAAGACTTTTAAAAGAGGACGAAAGAGCTGGAAATAATACAAAAATAGTTTTTGGAGTTCACAGAATACCCTAACCTACTTGCAATTAAAGTAATACTTGTACAAACCGTGTATTTGTGGATGTCATTAAAAAGAAACCAATTTGGACTAAATTCTGTCATTTTCTCTCCTCGCAGGTGCAATATGAATCAATTATCTTAATTAAGATAATACTAAATTCCCATGAGATTTGAAAAAGACGGATTTTATGCGGTGGACAACTGTCCTGCATTTATTAATTTCACCCCTTCTAGGCATAATGTGCTTAGTATGTTTAACAATTTATTCATTTTGTCAGTGACCAGTCTTACTTCTTGGCTTCGTCTTTACGGTAGCAGATGGCTGCAAGGATGGAAAAATATATCTTTCCCTGAATTAAATAATCCTAAAAATCCCGTGCATGGTGTAATTTCATTGAGGACATAAACAACCAAGTAACTTCGAGCAATCAAACCTCCGCTAACACAACTGTTCCCTTTGACAAAAGCTGAAATCAATTCTTTTTTTTTAATTCTTATTGTCTGGTGTTTTTAACACTTGTTTCACAGACTGCCCAACGGTCATCACATTGGTTTTTTTTCTCTCGGATTATATTAAATTGAATAGAAAACAGCAGATTTTGGACGTTGGATCAGGTTAGTGAGCCGTGAAACAGGCTTTTGTCAGTGCGCGTGCAGCTCGCGTGCCGACCTCCAGTCTGAAAAGAAGAGACTCATTACCAAGGGCTCAGTCCGGACTTCGGCAGCACTGTCTCCAAACAAAAGCACGCACAAATCATAAAGATTACCAGCGCTCAGGACTGGATAGTTTTGAGCAAGCTTTACCGACACTCAATGTAAAACGACCTAGTGACGCTACTGTACGCTTGACCTGAAATGTGATCCAAGTATTCCAAACTTATATATTAATACCAGAAAACTAATACAGTCGTTATTTTTTACAGGATGTCTGAAACGGTAAACAAACCCGTGAAATAATCAGGCAAATAAAAATGCAATCATTACTTTTTCTGACACATTTCCACATTTTATTTTAGGCTGGACATGTTTGATTTTAAGGCAGCGCACACGCCTGAGGAAATCTGGAGTGAAAACGATACAATCCAAAATATCGGCTCTCAAGATGAGTTCGGTGCACAGACTAATGCATACACATGGTGGTGGTGGGGGGGGGGTACGAATTTATTATTTAAGAAAATATGTCCTATGCTTGAAAGGGTTAATTCATCCTGCGGGTACAAACAGGTCTGCGGAGTCCCTAACTGGCGACAGATGGGCACTTTCTTTGGGCCACAAAGGGATGGAATAGAGAGCTCTGTTGAATACAAATGGAAGATGTCACGTGACGCTTGGGGCCGTTTGCCTGACGTAGCTGACCATATGGCGCGTGCCAGAGAAGGAGGTGGAGCCTTCTGCCAGACATTGGTGCAAGGGTATTGACAGCAGCAATAGATATACATGCTCATCTCTCAGCATCAGCAGCACTGCTATAAAACCTGAGCATCCGCCGAGCAGATAGTCAGAATATACCTTTACGAGGAACTGTCGCACAGCTTGAAGGGAATGAGATTTTCATAACGGGAAATTGTACAACAGGTAATTATGAAGTTGATTGTCAGCTTTTCTGATGCAATTTAAATGACATAAGTTATGCTTTGCAACCTGTTTCGTATATTTAAATGTATTGTTTTGCTAAAAAAAGAAAAAAGAAATAAATGTGCACATGCATTAGGATGTTTAACATTATAACTGCATATGTGTCGAGGGTCTGAAGCAATAGGCATTAAGCATGTTGTAGCAGAAATTATTAATTTGTGTGGAATGTGTTGAAGAGCGGCGTGAAAGATAAGAACATATGCTACCTGTTACCGCATCAATACATAGCTGAACAGGCAAGCGTTTAGTAATTAATTAAATTGTATCATCAGATTTGCTGTAACCCTTAGGAATTAAGTGCATTTATTTATTATTATTATTAGTCTAATATGATATTATTAGTCTAAAGATAGCTGAAACAACCTTATCTGTAGCTACAGCAATTGTAGTCGTACAACTTTAAGACTTATAGACTACAGTAAAAAGTGAGGATTTTGTACGCATTATGTAAAAGAGTTGCCTAGACAAGAAAATTAAGATTTGTATCTATTCATTTACTGAACTATAGCAAAGAAGATGTAATTTATTGATTTTGTTGTGTGTAAATTCATGGATTCAATATGAGAGAGAATTTAATCTAAGGAAGGTCTAAATACTAAGTTACATAACGGCATTTTTCGTGGCTACTGTATGTAGTCGTGATTTCTGTTGAGGTATTACCTTTATGCGTTACTTTCCAATTAAAATGTGTCCATACGATTTATATTTCCTTAAAAAACTTTTTCCCGTTTGCTGTAAAGTTTTACATCAACAAACATATTGGCAGGATTAGCTTCACCAACCATTATTTTTAATTATCCTTACGATTTTCTCTTCAATGCAGGGTTCAATAATGACAAAATCATACACCGAAAACAGCATGATGCCAGAGTCCCAAAGCACTTCGACCTGGACCGATGAATGCATAAGTTCTCAAGACGAGCACGAGCTGGAAAAGAAAAACGAGGAGCATGAATCCATGAGCAAGGATGGTGATGATGACGACGAAGAGGAGCTTAGCAGGCTTGAAGATGACGACGATGAAGAAGATGAGGAAGAAGAAGAGGGAGACGACCAGAAGCCCAAGAGACGCGGACCCAAGAAAAAGAAAATGACAAAAGCCCGGCTTCAAAGGTTTAAAATGAGACGCATGAAGGCTAACGCAAGGGAAAGAAACCGCATGCATGGGCTCAATGAAGCACTCGACAGTTTGCGTAAAGTTGTGCCGTGTTACTCGAAAACTCAAAAGCTATCTAAAATAGAAACACTGAGGTTGGCTAAAAATTATATTTGGGCTCTTTCTGAAATCTTAAGGTCGGGTAAAAGTCCGGATTTGATGTCCTTTGTGCAAGCCCTCTGCAAGGGATTATCACAGCCCACCACTAATTTGGTAGCAGGCTGCCTTCAGCTGAACCCCAGAACGTTCCTTCCAGAGCAGAGCCAGGAAATACCCACACATATGCAAACAGCAAGTGCTTCCTTCCCTGTTCATCCATACGCTTATCAGTCCCCTGGTCTTCCCAGCCCTCCATATGGTACAATGGACAGCTCCCACATCTTTCACGTTAAACCACATTCATATGGAAGCGCGCTGGAGCCGTTCTTCGAAAACGCTCTCACGGACTGCACTAGTCCCTCCTTTGACGGACCTTTGAGCCCGCCCTTAAGTGTTAACGGAAACTTCTCCTTCAAACACGAGCCATCGTCTGAGTTTGAAAAGAATTATGCCTTTACCATGCATTACCCAGCTGCCAGTTTGACGGGACCACAGGGTCATGCTTCCCTTTATTCAGGCTCTGCACCTCGTTGTGAAATCCCCATTGAAAACATTATGTCATATGATGGACATTCCCACCATGAAAGAGTCATGAACGCCCAGCTAAACGCTATTTTTCACGATTAACGAAAGAGAAGTCGAAGCGCCTTGCAGATTCGAATAAAACGGTCTCAATGACTCCTCTATAAGCGTCTCAGCATTCGAGTACCACTGGTACGAAGTGCAAATATGACACGCTTAAACATATGTATGTATTTATTATTGTTACTGCCTTTAGGAGAAGAGGGAATGCAAATTCCCGTTCACCTTATGTATTATACTCTATAGCGCTTCTATATAAAGGTCACTAGAAAATTGATGTGGCCGTATTCAGATTGTGTTAATTATATGATCCATATAACAAAATCACAAGCAATAATTAGGAAACTATGCAATTTTTGAACTAATAATGGGCCAATTAAAATTAAATAAATATATATATTTTTCAACCAGCATTTTACTACTTATCTATCCCATGCTGAATTATTTTGTTGTGATTTTGTACAGAATTTTTAATGAACTTTTATAAGGTCGATTTCCTATTTTAACCCATGCAGCTCCATTGATATTTTATAAAAGAAAAGTAAAATTATCTTATTTATACAAAATAATGATAATAATTTAAAAGATTTAACCAGCAGTCAAGTGCTTGGAAAAGTATTCTGTTGCCTTAGCACTTCTTTACTGTATAATCACGCAAGGTTGCACAATATTCACAGTTTAATTTTTTTCCTTACATTTACGTTTTTCTTACTAATCCACATACAAACCGAATAGGTGCACTATAAAAACATAAAATTGCAATATTTGCTGCAGGAGAGTACAATATCTTACTGGTACACTCTTTTGACCCAATTATCTTTTTCAAGAGAAAGGTTTGACTGTCACCCGTAATTTGCAATCTCATCGTTACTTTCCTCAAGAGACTTTTGATTACATTATTTTTCTAAAGGTCAAAAGATAGCTGGGCCCCTATACTTACTGTAACTGCGAGATTCTTTACAAGAAGAATCAACGGCTTGTCATGTCAAAATGAAAAAAATATAAAAATGGAGCCTGCAGTTGATCCGATTATTCAGATTAATTCCTGTAGACGTTAATTAGTACAGTAGATAAAAATTCACACCACTTAACTCCACACATAGATCAATAGATATTGCATGTACAATGCAGTCCAGATTAAGTGCTGTTTGACGTGTAATGCCGGTTCAATTTGAATCAATTTGTACTGTATTTTGTTAGTAAACCTGTATATGATGATGTATTGCCACAACGCATTGGGGATTTATATTACACATCGCTGAACCATTTATATTGAAAATAGTATTGAACATTTGGTAAAAGGTTGCATTTCTCCTTCAATGTGATTTCTTAGTGTATGTAATTCCTATGGGATTATTGTTTTATTTTGATAGCTCATGAAAGGTGCAAATTATTATTTGTAGAATAAAGTTAATGATGACATTTTTGCGACCAATGTGTGGATCTGTCTAAAAGAGAAATGGTTCAACAGGTAACGAACCAGTTAAAAGTTAGGAGAAATGTTACGAAATGTTTCACACTGTAGATAACAGGGATGTGCAGGGGAAAAAAAACAAATTTATACATCTTTTAAGAATAGGAAAAATGTGTGAGGAGTGCTTTGTTGATGGTTGCTTTCTCCCAAAGCGACAAAGAACTAAATCCATTTCTTTAAAATATGAGTGAAGACCTAATGGAAGAATATACTTTACAGAGCAACAGTCGATCAATGCTAATTCGCAAGCATATAATGGAAGATAAAAGAACAAACAAAATCATAATATTAAAATACACGAAAAAAACAAATTGTATTTAAATCATGAATATAACTAACAAATGCCGGACTTTATCGTTTTAGTTGCCTTTTCTGTTAATATTTGAATATAATAATAATTCAGGTAATTCTATGTGTTTTGATTGCCTCTTCCTTAAAAGTAAACGTAAAAAGTACCTTAGGCTAGTTGTGAACCATTGCATCGGGAGTAGCATTTTTTCCGGCAGACCATTGCAGTACCTTGACAGGAATTCGTCAGGTCCTCTTTACGACCTTCGCCCGTGTCTCAGCCCAGTTTGCCCCCAAGGCAAAACCCACTGAGACACTTTCAGTCCAGCTCACTCCAACACACTGTGAAGATCGCAGGCGCCATATACACGGTGGCTGTGAATTAGGTATCCTGTGACTGTATACTTGGCAACATTTGTTTCCCCCTCGGCAGTAGTTTAAATCATATTAGCATATTCTGGTCTCTCTTTCTCTACCTCAGATATGTCATATTCTTACGTCCAGAATAATAGGGTAATTGTTACATTATTAATTCTGTCCTTTTCCAAAACGAGCATTCTCTGAAGAGCTGGATCTCAACTTGTCAAATTAGGTTTGAAGTAAAGCATTCAAAAACACGAGTTAGGAATCATTAATGCAAAATCAAAGAAAAGAAACAAGGAAAATATCATCAGTTAACCACAGAAAAAAAAATCAGAAATATCAGTATAATATATTATACAGTACGTTCTCTATTCATACAGACTAGTGCGTTATATGAAATCAAATTAACTAACGTAAGCATACTTCACCAACATGAAAGTTTATGATAATAATCGCTAAAGGACAAAACGAAAGGCTTTGTGCCACAGCAAAAACACACGGATTTCTTAGTGAGTCAAGGGGCATTTCACATGCCACCATCTTTTATTCAAGCCAAGGCAGGCACAGATGTTCCTTCTGCAGGGGAGGTTTTAATTTATGAAAATTATATTGTTTATGCATGAATGCACACTGCATAACACAGTACTTTCATCTGATGGGAAAAAATACCACAGAACCAGTGCCAATGTCAGAAACATATTCTGCAGATTTATTCCCCTTAAAGTTTAATGACTATCTGGACATCTTTTTTTCACGACAACAAACCTTTTCAATTACCTGACTTCTTTCATAGAGAGCTCATCATACGCATTGCCACCTGTCAGTCTTCTATCGCATAAATTAACATAATACAAATCAAATAGCGGCGTATGAAATAACAATATGCAACAGAATCAAATCAACATTTTCAATTTAGGTTTTAAAACTTCGACACTCATGGTCCGGATGAAAGTACCCTGTGCTCTAACGTTTTTATATATAGTACCTTATACTGTGCAGTTTAACATCTATTGACGTCACCCAAACTGTATAAAAATCAATTTTTCCTTGGCAATGAAGATTATAAACTTTATCCACAGTCCAAGTCCGCATTTTTTCTGTTCCCGAGACTGGTACAGCAAGAATTTAATGACACATTTTTACAGTATAAATTGCGCTCTGATAGTACAGTACTATTGAGTCCTCAGAAATCACACCTTTATTCATTAACAGGTGAAGGTTCCAGTTTCACCTTTTCCAATTTGAAAAGTTATGGTACGGACCGCTTTGACTCTTCACTGGGTAAGATTTATTTTATAAGCTGAAGGATATATTTGACCAGAATTTGTCGTACAAAAGATTACTACGTCTTTTAAAAAGTTACATAACACACTGCGTAACAAATACAAAAATGCATACTGTATCCATTCAAACATTACTTAGAATTTTGAAATGCTAAAATAATGAACATATTATTAGGAATTGTAATTAGTTTAACTAAACTAAACGCTTATGTACAGTATGCTACCATAGAAATACAGTAGTACATTCAGTTGTTTCAGTGATTTAACTATAAACGTGTATTCAGATAACACCCTAATATTCTTTTACAAGTGAGACATTTTTTGTAATGGCGATAATATAAATATACTGAGTATGATATCGGTTGCTTTAGTTTTTCTATGACCAACACATGTTGTGTTGAAATAACAAAGGACTGTCATATACAGCTGTATTATAGTTGTTTATTGTATTACCGAAATTTTTAATTTACTTAGACTGTAGCATACATACAGTATTGTTGGCAATGTTACAATGGTTATCTGGGGAAATGTAATGGGGGCATAGGCCTGTTTAGTGTTACACTGATTCCACGATGGATTGCTGTACAATACGCGTACATTACAGGACGTTGTATAACTCTTTTGGCTTACACAACGGGAAATTACGCAGCATATAAACTACAAGCAAGAATAGAAAACGACACAAAAAGGACAGGTTAGTCATGCAGCAAGTAATAAAATACGTTGACGTTTGTAACGTATTCCTTCAAAGCCAATGTAAATAAAACTTCTACTTAGATTTAACGAGAGAAAATAAACAGATTATCAAAAGTGATGCACTTCCAACCTTTTGTTCCTGAGCTTGGCACAGGTAGTGCCAAATTGATATTCATTTAGTTGTAATGCGGGATAAGGGATGCCGCGAAGGACACATCTCAACTGTTGCTGCGCTTACTTCTAATGTTTTCGACTGAAGTCTGTGAATGATTATATACAGTATTTGACGTAGGCCTACAACTGAATTCATTTTAAATCTAACATGCTTTCTATCAAGACGTATTGAGCTAATAATAAACGTGTGCTTACGTGCCTTAATTCTGAGAGCTGTCCATGGTGCTGAACTTTTGTTTGAACGTCTTGGATACAAAATTGCTGATCTCAAACAGAAATCTGATTAAATGGTTAGAAGCATTTTCTCAAGTTGTTTTAAGTGTTTTTGATGCCCTTATCACAACTGATCATTTTAAGGGGATCTCTCTAGATGTGTCTGATCTCTTTTTCTATATTTTAAAATGAACTATTTTAAAGGATGTATAAACAATGGATTAATATTAGTGAGAATATTCTGAATATACCCTCTTTCATATAAAATTAGTTAAATATATCTTAAAATCTTAAAAAATACGCATACAACTTTCTTAAAATTTAGAATGTCCTATTTTTTAACAGATAGCCTTCATATAAGGGTATATTAAACACAATCTAAGATTATTTAAACGATAGTTTCCTGTTAATCAAACGCATGAAAATGTATTATATAAAATATAAATATAGTTAACATGCAGCTTGCCAGGACAGACTCAGACCGCCCTGTGACTCTGAATCAGAATTGGATGGATGGTTTTAAGATACATGGCAATTTATGATTATTTCAACAACTGTAAATGTCTTTCTCTACATTGGAAGACATTAGAACTACTGTACACAGGCTATGCTGTAATATATATTTTAAAAACAATAAAAATGTTATTTTGATTTATTTGTTAGATACAGAAGATGTCTTTAAGAGAACATAACATTTCTTTATACCAGATACCTTGAATGACTTCAAAAACATAGCAAAGAATTATTATCCTATAATCATGATAGAAGACACGTCAAAACATTTTTTTCTCATTCAAATGTCATTTAAGTTTAATGATAACATGGATTCTTCTTTAGTCATCTGTGCATGCACTAGTCACATATGTGTCTATTTCAGGTCTATTTGTGGCACAAACATTCCAGGAGAGTAAAGATATACCTTATTCAATTTCTGTTTCTCTATACCTTGTTTAGCCTTTCTGGAGCTAGAGTTCATAGAAGTGAAATACACTGAGTGGGACCTACTGTGTAAAACAAACCAGTTTAAAAATGTTTAATCACCTTGCACATTTCAAATCCTAGTCCTTCTGAATTGTACCAGGGACTAGGGCTATGCCACCTGCCAAGCGACCAGGTTTGTCTCAAAAGAAAAGAAACTCCCAAACAGCAGTCTCCAAATACAAACAAAACTAGATTTATTGCCATCAAAATAGGGATACTACAAACAGGAAAGGTGACTGGTGGCCATCTTGATTAACACAATACAATACTCCACTGGGGAAAACACTGCAGTGATTTTAGGGAAACAAAAAAGGTAAGTATCATTCACACTTCATTCATATCACATACACACTCACAAACATACCATAAGAGTAGTGGGAAATATTGGAGTATTTCATAGTCATCAAAAGAAAGAAAAAACAATCACTCTGTCATGGGCTATTAATAGTTTAAAACAGAAACAAAAATGTTTCAAAACTGTTTGCTGTCATAATGTTTTCCACCATCATTAACAAAACAATCATAAGCCTGTATATGGGTTACAGACGTACCGTGCATATCCGTGCAGAAGAGGCATGGAAATAAATGTTTCTACCCCATACCATGATCCTACATAATGGAATGACAAGGAAGTGAAGGTTCTTTTGAAACAGAAACAGGAGATCCCATGATGCGTCTTTACTGTACTGTGGTTTCAGACAACAGTAAAATACAAGGAAAAAGTTAACAAATCGATAGGTCTGTAAGATTAAATTCTCTTTTAATGGCATGCCTATACTTAAAACCAATTATACTTATATGATTTAAACCATTTTCAAGCTGAAGATTATAGTTGTACTTAATTTCAGCCTGCAAAATAGCCTCAGATGTCCATATTTGCTATACTATGCAGGGTAATTGCTAAGGTCTGGTTAGTTCAACTTTAAATTGGACTTAGTTATTTTATAGGAAGTGTGTAATTGTATGAGTAAACAATGTCCAATGAAATCATATATTTTTCTTGATTTATTCTTTTTTTATGGACTGCATTCTCTTGGGATGAATTGTAAAAATTCAGTTTCTATATCTCAATTGATAGTGGGATGCGTGTGTTTGATACGGATGTATAATATGTAATATTAGACTGCAGACCGCAAAAAACGTTACACAATCCAGTTATTGTATACCTGTGGAGGGACAAGAGAGGGAACAGTGGCTGACCAGGCGCGTAACCAGAACTGCAGACGCCCGACGGGAGCGCGCATTGACTGAAACCAAACAGACACCAAGCAGGAAGTTTCACAGCAGCATCAGGGGGGCGCGCTGACCTGTTAAAATATTCCCACAGAAAGGTGCTAGTTATTCATTTTTATGCTCCAGGAATAAGTAAGTTATGTTTGAGTCCCCTCGCAGATGCGGTAACATCCTAAATGCCTGGTCGGAGAGCTTAGAAGAGTTACAGGAGACGCAACCGGTGTCTCCAGTCAGCACAGACAATCCAGGCAAGAAGAGAAAGAAAAAGAAACGAGAACAACAGCGATCGTTCTCGGTCCCGCAGCTCTTCACAGCCGCTTCCGTAGCTTCAGATCCAGAAGAGCGAAATCGAGGAGATACAGATCAAAGAGCTGAAACCGAGGAGCCGATTGTCAGAGGGATATTTCAGATAGAAAAAAGAAGCTGCGACGTAGTGTTGACAGCGACCAGGGTGATATGGACTCAGATCCAACCCGAGACCCCTACAGGTGGGTTGTGCAGTGTTTGCTCTGTTTCCATGGCAATACGAGCGGCACTGCTATTTTTCATTTTATTCATGCAATAAAATATGCGAGAAGGCAGAATTATAATAAAGGGAGAAGGTCCTGAAAATGAAAACCCTCGATATGTTGCGCTTTTATTTATTTTTTGTATTCTTAAAACCTGTACACAATCCAAAACATTCGGCGCTCAAAATTGCAAACAACAGGCTAAACACTCTTTAGTTAAATCTTTAGTTCATAATACTTAGTAATATCACTTTTGTTTTTTTAGGAACATCGATTGAGTGAGTTTTAAAGCTTTGTATTCCAAAGCACACCAAAGTATGATGAAGGGTGTGTTTGTGTTTTCGCAGTTTTAGAAAGTTAACTATAATGCAGTAAATGCTCTCTAGAGGTGCGACTGGACAGCTGCATCAGCGCTCGAGATACCAAGAACACATAGAGGTTAATTCCATGATGAAAATTAAAATGAATCAATCGCACAACATTTTGAGGGGTCTGTGGGGTCTTATGTAGTTGTGTGTGGAAATATATATATATAACATGTACACAGTGTAGGTTAAAGTATCCAAACAATAAAATTAAGTTAATTTTCTAAGCAAATACCTTAGGTAAGCCACAGTAGGCCTAGAACGCTATCAAACTGGTATGATCCCAAATCTCTGTTCTGAGAAAAAGTGCACAAACATAAGGTGATTTAGAAGCTTACAAAAGATACATTCTATTTGTTCAATATATGTAATTATCCTGGTATATAATGTGTTTATTTAGTCTGTTTTAATTATTCCAAACATTTGTGAACTTTTTATGTTTAAAACAATTCCACTGAAAGCACCGCTCAAGTTTGTAGTAAAGAAAGTTCGAACATAAGAAATACAGTAAATTTGTAATTTTTCAATTGCTTTTGTTCATTTTAAAGTGTCTTGTTCAGTTCAATGGTCCATTAGACAGAACAGGACCATTTAAAATGGAGAAAGACCATTTTAAAAATCCATGTTTATTTTCATTTTTAGGGCCCCACAAACAGTTATTTTCCTACTTGAAAGTGATACAACTGGTGATATAGAATATTACCAAATGATGAAAAAGAAGGTGCAGTAAAAATGTAATTTAATTTGCATGAATGTGTTTAACAGACGGCCGAGTGATTAAAAGCTGAGGTGACAGCACTAAGAAGAGTTAGGAAGATACACGATAGTGGGTGAACATATCCTAGTATGTACTTCACAATTATGGCTTTGTCTGAGTGCAGTGTGAAACATCTGTTAACTGATAGGGGGTGAATGGAAATGAAAGGCTCTAGCTAGTGCATGCATTTGGCCTCGCACTTTATACAAGGCAAAAGGAATTTCTACTGACCAGATCTGTACGCTAGGAGATCCACTATTTGAACTCTAAGCACTTGTTTAATATTCACCAATACATTTTTTAAATAAATCGATGTAATGTCAAACTTCAAAAATATCCTACAGTACATCCCACCACTCCATCTCAGTGTTCACTTGAAAGTCATGCCATTAAATTATTTTTAATACTTCTATTTTTTATCAAGATTCTTTGTTGGATGCATTATATTTTGTTAATGTATCTGTATCATGGGCAACTGTTGTTTGTTTTTCATCTTATCCTGATCCAACTTGTAAAGAGATTAGTTTGTAGAATTTCACATGTTTTTTTTTCTCTGCCCACGTTTGATCTATTTTTATTGTGAAAATAATGCATATACTGTACAGGGGCTGCACCACAAAGTAATTAAATGAGCCTTTAGAAATCCTCATTGCTGGGACAAATGGAATTTTTAGATCCGCATACACATACCTTAAGGTGTACTCAGTCACACTTGAACACACAGCTCTACAAATACATCATATTAAAATTTTGGAAGATTCAAATTAATATCAATCTTGAATGGCATCTGATGTTTTATTATCAACACTTCCAAGTGAGTTTCAGAATTTTAAACATTGTTAAGAAAACTGCCTTCCTCTCTGTTTTACCTAAATCCTAATAAATTGATTATATTAGGATAGATGGGTCAATGGATAGTAAAAGAAACATTTTGAGCTATTATAGTCTCAAAAAAAGTTTTCTTGTTGCTGTAGAACCTCAAGATGCTATGTCCCTACAAGAAAAAATCTGAATACATACATTGTGTATTTTTGATGAGAACTGTATTTTACCTTGCATGAATATTACCCCATTCATGTTCTTCACTGTTCTAGTATCTTGTGTTCAAAGCAGTGGCTTAATGTGTCAGATGGTCTGTCTGCTAAATCTATACAGTATAACAATAATATTTTATCAGTAAGTCCGTATGCATGTGTGATTTGCAAATGGTGTATCTAATATTCAAGTCCATATCTTTTTCATTTATAAATGTATATCTATATGGAATAGTGAAAATGTGATAGTACAATACTGCAGGAATAGAAAGCAAACACAGAAAATAGACAAAATATGACAAGGGATATGATGCCAAAAAAGTCATGTGGAACAGATGTGCTTGTAATAGACACCAGCCGTTTGTTATGACCACCTAAAGTAAGGCATCTGTCAGTCTTGTGGACAGTTAGCAAATGTCCAAGTAAATGATACTCAAAAAATGCACCTCCTGTCTGATATTACTTTACAAATCTGCATATTTTGCACTGTTTTTACTATATTAAATAGTTTAATCAATCTTTATTAATTTAGCTGTAAATGTAACATTCATTTATATGAGTTATAAATAATTTAATAACTTAAATTAATATTTTTTTTCTCCTTAAACATGAGGAACAAATGGTTATTATTTCAGTTGTAAATTTACTTCACCTTCTTGGTTCTTATTAAAAATGTCTACAACATTTGCCTATTTAATATTTTATGTAGCCAAGGGTAATTTAAGTATATTTCTTTTTATCTACATGTTGTCTCAGTCATAAGGAAAGTAAATGTTATTATTTAGGAGTTCAGTAATACAATTATATGAGTGTTTTAATAAAACCAAACACAACAAATCTTAAATGTGTCCTACATTGGTAGCATTGGTAACATTAAAGTGGCCTTGTTTTTGTTGTGTTTTACTGTATAGTAGAGTTTCTGAAAGCATTTACAATCCAGTTTAGAAATAGTAAAGCTTTCATTTTATTTTGTTTAAGCTGAATAGACAGTGTTTTTTGTCTGTGATGCAAGCCAATGTTATTAAGCCAGAACTCTCATTACAAAGAAAGCATCCATCTAATCACCCCCTATGGCCTTTACCAAATGCTATCACAAAACTGCCAAAAAATGACAGGGAAGCACTAATATGCTGTGTTTCTCTATTTGATGGTTATGTGATTCTTTTCTGCCTGGGGATGTTTTATCCTAATAGTGTCCTCTGTCCTCCAGATTTAGTGGAAGGTTTGGCATATTTGAACAGATTAATCCTAGTGGTAAGTACAGTTCATGCCATATAGTATGATTAAATATGAACCTTGAAAACAACATAAGCATAATACTTTTCCATTATAATTTTATTCTTTCCTTAAATACTTAGAAACAATTTTAGAATAATCTAGGCAAGGGATTATTCATATCTCATTATTTTGTACATAGGACTTCAGAGCCAAATATATTTGTTTCAATTTTTAGCAGTATAACCTTTTGTAGATGCTTTATTCAACTTCAAAAATGATCTACTTCATTGCTGTGAATCAGCTGACATGTTGGTTTTGTAGAAAAATGAAAATCATGTCTGGGTTGAATTTCCAGAAAAATGCAATGTTTTTTGGGGAAAAGGTGTATGTTCAAAGAAGCTTGCTGTAATTGAAGTAGAGGAAACACAGTTGGTAGGTACATAAACCATACAATACTTAATTTTTGATGATTGACTGAAGAATCATTAGTCAATGCTGAAGTAAATTTACCATGTCAAACACAGTGAGCTTGTCAGATTTTCATGGAAGATTTTTAAATCTTGTTTTGCTCAACAACTGATGTATTTCTTCATACAATCGTCTACTATTTAATTTACAGAATTTCTTACGCTTATTTCTAGTGGTGCACTAACACACAAAGCAAGCTTATTCAACCACTATAAAAACAAAACACTATGAAGATCTGACTAATCCTTTGATCATTTCTGCACATTCTATCCATTAGGAATTCAGAACAATTGAACATAAGAAAAGTAAATTAGGAAGATACAGTGATAAAATTTCATGTTGATCACTACCACTGTTTTATTTCACCATAGTCAAAGATTGGTTGTACTCTATGCAGCACAAACAACAATCAAATTAAATGCTCCATTTCAGTCTTGAAATGTTAGTTAATGCATTTGTTAATGCTGTTATCCCTGTTGTTAAAAATTAATGATCTATAAAAATGATAAACAACAGTATTACTTTATCATCAGCTAAAGGTCCCACAGATGCAGCCTGAACACTGTGTTACAGAACACGACAATACATTTTAATGTCAGAGTTACAAATACAGTCCATATGATAATTGAGGAATGAGCTAACATGAAAAGCGAATGGATAATTAATTCCTTTTTGGATTTCTACAAATAAAGCTTGGTAATTTAGTTAAATGGGAATATTTACTAGTGTTCCATAAGATAAACAATAGGATCAATGGGGGCAACAGATCAATTTGTATACAATAATTTTATTATCTCACACAGTTTTGTTGCAGCTGTAATGATTATGATCTGTGATTTGGAGTCTATAGGTAATCAACAAGCATACACTTACAGTATGTTTTACTTAAAAATAATCAAACGTTATGTACAGTACACCGATACTGATCTTCATGGACTACCTACCTGATGCTTAGTAAACCAGTGATCCAGTGTTAGTGTTGTGTCCTTTGCGTAACTGGGAGCACACTCAAACATTTTGGCTATATGAAGTGACTCTTACTGTATATCTTGTATTCCACATTGGTGAGCATACATTTGTAAATTGGTTAGTCTGGATATTTTTTGTCAATTGTCTTAAATATTTTCTGACCTGAGG